TCTGAGTACACAGATTTCATACTTTTAGTTGAGTTTGTGCGTGTGACGACATGTGTGTGTAGGTCAAGTGGGGAAAGTTTCTTACTTTTGCATGTAATTCAAAAGGCTCCTACTGGAAAATTTAGGATTTCTGGAGAGAATTCTGCAGAACAGATGTATGCTTTCCCCAAATGAAAAACATGCATCTGTTTCCTAGAAATCTAAACAACAACACTGAAGCAATCGTACAAACAAGGTGAGGTTTGTTTTTCTACAGATGGTTCTTATTTTTATACAAATGAAAAAGTATATACAGTAAAATGATATAAATTAGGCAGTAAAATACATTCATATCAGAGAGATTTAGTAAGTCTCCTGGATAACATTGTGCTTTCATTTCTATGCACAATTGTATTGAAAATCCCTCCTTTATTTTATTTTAAAAATGTTGCTTTTTGGCTTACCTGATTCCATTTAGTCCCAGTTCTTGGGTGTCCCTATCAATTCATTTTGCCATTTCTGTTACCTGTAGACCATTTTGCTTTGTTCCAATAACCTGAATTTATGGTATATGCTCAGGAACTGATAGGATCTACTACAAACCCTGTTGGTTAGATCTTCCCACGCCATACTCAAAACTGACAGTAAGCATATGCTGCTTTTGAATGTTGTGAACAACTTTTTTTTCTCTATAATAGTGTTTTCACAAAATCACAGAAGAGAGAATCAATGGAACAGAGTTACCTAGAGTGTCAGTAATCCCCCATCCAGAACTGCAAAGTATCTTAATGTAATTAAGTATTAGGATTAATTCCTTAATCCTCATATTTTCCCTTGTCCATTTGAGAGATGGATCTCTAATTAAATTTCCCTTTGGTCACACTAATGAAAACAATATCATCTAGAACTCCAGCCATAGTTAGCATGTGTGGATAGCAGAGATAAAGCTGGGTAATTGCAGGATTAATAACTGGTCTTTTATTGTGGCTGAAAGCTATGTAACCATATAGAAACTCATGGAGTAACATGAAACCACAGCTATACTTTGTGTTGCTTCCCCTGATCACTTCTTCCTTTAGCTCTGATTTTTTGCAAGCTCGTGAATAATCGGCTACAATCATACAATTGTTCCCAGTTCATATTCTCCTCATGGGTTTCCTGTAAGCCAGAAAAGCAAGAAATGCAATTCAAGCAGCTCTAGTAGCTCTGTGATAAAAAAACAGCAAGTTTTAATAACCCCTGCTAAGCTACTTCATTTACAGTACAGGCCACAGGGTAACTATTTAATGTGCTAGCCACTTCAGCATACTTTGTACCTTTTCCAGAGACATGAAGCATTTTTCTAATGCTTTAAGCTTGATGAATAACTGCCACATTTCTCAGAGTAACTACAAAATAAATAAATCTAGGAGCTATGTAGATGGATGCTTGCTGGGGGTCTGACTGCATGATGTTTAAAATAGTAAAGGTCATGTAAAGTCTCATGGCTTAGGATACATGGCAAAGAAGGATGGAGAGGTGTGAAATGGAACATAATACCTGCAACTTTATTAGCAATGGGGAAAAAGGGCCATAATAACATCTTTGCAGTATAAGTCATATTATTCCTTCTAATAAAGCCCTGGAGGCAGTTTAGCCTCCTAATAGAATGCTGCCTTCATGTCAGGGGCACTTCACCTGCAGCTAGGAAAAAATGCCTCCCAAAAGAACTATTATCTCTTTTTGCAAGATCATTATAAGCCAGTCAAATCGCAGGTCCCAAGACTTAGTCAATGGCATCCTGGACTTGTATGGTTCACAATTAACATGAAAATCAGAGTGGATATGGAAGGATCGCATCTCCTTCTGCTAGGTCTGGATTCAAGTAAAACTCTAATTAGATGTAATATTCATCTATGCCAATTCATATGTGCCAGTTCCCAAACTCTGACAGATTGCACACCACCAATTTAAAACAATACAGCCTTGAGTGCCACCAGCAAATTTTTCAGTTCAACTTTAAGTACCACCAGCAATTTTTTGTCATATAAAGTAATTAAAATAAATCTGTTAACATGTACCATGGACAGGTTGTCTGCGTACCACTGATGGTACGCGTACCACAGATTGGGAACTGCTGATCTATGTTGTCTGGGTAGATTTTTTTCAACTTGTTTTTTCAACCAAACAGAACTGAGATCTAAATGACGAAGACCTAGGATACTTTAGCACCGGTGTAACTTACACTAATGTTAGTTATACCAGTACCTTGTGCAGATAGATGTCCATCTTTCCCAGGTAACATCGGGTACAGGCACAGAAGTTCTTGCAAGATGTGCTAGGCTCTGAATTTAGTGTGCCAGCTATTCCACAGTAGTTATCTATGTGACAGTAGTTATCTATGTGCACAGTCTTACTGTGAGGTAAATGCAAGGTAGCTCATGTCTCAGGGAAGTGAGATAAGCTACCTCACATTTACCATAAAATAAGAGCCTGGGCAGCACATTCGTGGTCACAGTGGAGTCGTTGATGCACTGTAAATTCATACCTTAGCTTATCATGCAGTAACTTGTTTATGTGCTCATAATGTTAGACTATTGAAATCAATAGGAATTTTTCATAGACTTCAGTACTGGGAGCAGAATGTGGTCTGTGGATCTGAAACATCTCATATTGTATTCTCTGTATCTTTCAAATGGCTCTGGGCCTCAACAGTGTGATGTTTATTTTTAATACAATACCTCATTGATATTGTTGCATGATCTCACAATCTCCTTCTTGGTGGATTAGCACAAGCAGGCAGAATTCCTGAGATGACATAGGCATGAGCTCATTAAAAACCAAACATGCCTATTCCCAAAGGATCCTGAAGAAAAGCAAGTCTTTTGCCTGGTGTGGCTGGCTCCCTCTGAGTTCCACGTTCACTTTCCCTTGTCAGCAAGCATATCTCCTTCTCTGACCTTCTTCCCACTCATTTCCTAAATGAGAATGCTCTCCTATCTGGCAGAAGCTACAACTTTTTAGGTCTTACAAACCCAATGAAACCCATTAATTCTGTGTTATACTATATCCAGATACAATAGACTGACTGGCATAAGTCAGTGTAATTTTACTTGATGAACTCAATGGAGCTACACCATTTCACAACAGTTGATCATCTGGCCTAAATCCCATCTATGATAGGCATATTTGCATTCAGATTCCTATAACACAATCAACTTGCCTGGTTATAATGAATATTCTAAACCACTAAGAAAACTTAAGAAAAAATAAGATTAAGAAAACAGAAATGAATAATTTTTTCTATGCTATTTTGCAGGAATTGTTAGATTTTGCCACTCAGCTTCACCTCTCTTTTACAGTCATTTTCAGTTCCTTGCCCCTTGCTGTGGAGCTGTATACTCCCTCATAATGCTTTCTTTTGGATCCTTCTCTGGAACTTTATTTTCTTTGGATTTTCCTACCCTGCTATTCCTGCCTAATGTAGAATATTTTTACATGTATTTCTACTAATTCCCACTAGACCTTCAAATCATCCCTGCTGTACAAACTTTAAATCTGAATTGAATCCAGTATCTAAAAAAGTGTAGATTTGAACACTAGCTCAGAATCTACGTTTTTGACATATTTGGCTAAAACTTTCTAACAATTGGTATTGCCCTTCAGTTTATGGACCTACTTCTTTTCTCTTTGGAGCTCCTAGAAGTATTGCTGCTGACTTCAGTGGGAACAGGGATTGGTCTTCACTATGCAAGGTATGTTAAATTGTGTTTAAATCACTTGGGACCTTTTCTCTGTATGTAGAAGGCAGGGTAGTTGCATGTGTAAAGTGGCCTGACAAATTCCTAACCAACTGCGTTAGCATTTTGTAATGTCCTAGTACTCATTTTAGGATTTTATTCTGGTAAAATATAAATTTTTTTTAAATATACAGTTTACCAAAAGGTGTCATTACATGCTTTGGGACGATTTGAGGGAATACTTAAAAGAATTTTTTCCCCAGTTGCAAACTTTATATTCTCCTGTAAAAAGGATAAAAACATACTTCAACTTTAACAAATGATTTCCTTATGTAATATAGAAAACCATAAATGCCAACTTGTTTGCTTTTGACACTTCTAAGGCGTTACTGCTCTTCTGAATGAAAATGGAGACACATTGGAAGACTTTGTTGAAGTGACATCCTGTAATTTAAAAGTGAAGCATTTTAATTTTAGAATGCATGACAGCTCCGTGTGTGTGTGAGAAAGAGAGAAGGCTGGGGAATGTGTTCTTTACGGTACTCCCAGGCTACTGCAAAAACCAAAAGCTTTGATGAGAGATGATACAATGTATTGATTATCCTGCAACCGTTTGACAAAATAGTGATGCGTTAACGGGGCACAGCAATAGTGATGCATTACGGGGCATACATTGCAATTCTTTAAAACAATTGCACTTCAAGTAGTTTCTGAATCTACCATAAAAACAAGATTCTACAGGGCGACAAAAGTATGCAGTTAAGGGACTGCTCTGCTAGTGTGCAGAAATAATTATTTAGTGATCATACTGGAATTTTCATTAATTTCCACTGATCTCTGAGCTGACCAAACTGTTGGGTTTTTCTTCCATCTGTAATGCAGTAAGAGCACCTGGAGGATCCTAAGGGGCATGTTAGGACCAAGGTCTGATGTTGTTGCTTAGCTTAGATGGGAGAGCTACATCATACTTGCAAGTACTGACCCCCTAAAGCAACATTTCTTTACTTCCCCCCTTAGACTAAGAAGTCAGTCAAGCAGCAGTGCAGTGAGGTTAGTTGTAATTGTGTGCTGAAAAAGAGATTTACATCTGAAATTCTTCTACTGCACACACACACTACAGCAAAAATATATTTTGCAGGAGAAGCTTCTGTAGAACATATTTGAGGTTGGATAAAGTGCTTCATTATCTTTGCACTATGAGAACAACATATTTTTTCCCCTTTAGACTTGTGGAATTTTCCCCTCTCCCTTTAAGAGGGACAAGATATCACAAAACAATAACAGTTTGCTTGTGTTTCCTACCTTGGAGATCCAGCTGTGAGCTCTGGCAGGATGCCATTGGATTCTTGCCCCCCTTTTTCATTAGGAGTGTTACAGTGTGCCATTTTCTCTTTGTTGCCCAGGTGCAGAGCTCTTTTCAAAAGTCTCTCCAGGTCCAATACTGATCTCCCTTACTGCAGTGGAGCCCATCAACATCAGTGGAGTTGCTTCTGATTTATACAGGTTTATGTGACAGCAGAATCAGGTTCTCTCTCTCTCACATTCCTCTCCCCAGTAAGACATACTTGGCACAGACAAACAAACACATTTTAAAATCCTACCAGCCGTTCTTGGAGCTAATGCCAGTGCTGATCAAATTCTACAAATTAAAATGTAACAGTGGGGAAGAGTCTAACATATTGCTATAAAATAACCTTTGGAAAAGTGAAGAAAAGAATAAGAGAATAAGGGTTGAACAATGAACAAGGGAGTGAAAGCCTGCCTGCTCAAAGTCAATGGGAGTTTTGCTATTGACTTTAATAGCGTCAGAATTTCACGCAGTGACCAGTAACATGAAGAAAGGAGGACAGCAATAGATTACGTCTTCCAACCCTTTTCGAAGCCTGCTAAGGTTGTGAACATAGGATACATTAATAGTGGTACACTGATGTTAGCTTCACTAGTGTCTAGTGCAGACACATGCCCAGCTTTCTTAAGGCATCTGCCCAGAGTAGCACTTCATGACTCAGTGGAACAGCCAATAATAGCCTGTTTAATGAAGAAAATGTCTATCTTGGGATGAAATTGAGAAGTCCTGCAGACATGTGGCTTCTATACAAATATAATATTTTAGTGTAGTTTCTAATTGCTCTGGACTTTCCTGAGCCTTGAACAAGCCCACTGCAAAGGAATTGATCTACATACTCATAAATCCAGACCAACAATCTAACCCTTCTTTCATTGCCCTTTTGTAAAGATGACCATCTTGAAAAAGTAGTTTGTGGGTGAGGGGTCTCCTCCATTCATTGGTTCTCTGGCTCTCATTCTATTTAATGGAAAGATGGTAATTCTGCAGTCATTGGGTGCCTCTCTGCCCATAAAGGAGAAAGGGTTTCATTCCATATTATTAATGTCCTCGAGCTGCTAGGTTAGGCAGGCTTTTGGCCTTTTTTATATTTTTGACATGGTAACCATAACTCATTGGGCCCAATTCTGATAGCACTATTTACACTGAAGAGTACCTTAGCTCTACAAATACTGTAGCTGTATGGCCTTCAGTATGACTTATACACATTTAAGTGCTGACAGGGGCTACAGCTGGGTGAGTTCATTGTGTCTTACAGGTGGATTGATCTATATGAGTTGGGCTATAATATTTGCAGTGGAAGTTCATTCCAACACAATATGTAAATACTCAACATCCGCCAAGCAACAGAGTATAAAGAATAAAATGTTAAGGACTCAGCTGTGAGTCCTCATGAAGACCCTGCGCTGGGAAGTAAGTGAGCACAGATACTCCTGTTGAGGGTACCTATAGTACCACAGCCTACAAAGTAGGAAAAGCAGCTGCTGGTGGATTACTACTCTCCTCTTGTGCAGGAGAGCAGGGAAGAACAGGAAGTAGTCTGCACCAGCAGAAAGCAGTCATTTTCCTCCTAGAGGAGGATGAAGTGGCAACCTGTGACTATTTGCATTCTGCCTTGTATTTGGACTGGCCAGTAAGGCTACAATACAGCTCTAGGGAGAAAATGTTTGCACTGTACAGAGCTTTGTACAATAGCCTTCAGGAAAAAAAAAAGTCAGATCTTGCTGTCAGCGACATCAGAAAAGTCAGTGAGAGTAGTTTGCTTGCATAGCTGGGAGCAGAATGCAGCCCCATATGCCCACGTAGTTATCATTTCTTTATTTGAGAACACAATATCTGCTTGATAATGCATATACTGTTTATCACTATTGTTAGTACACCTCCCAAAACAGATTGTGCCTCTGTGGTTTTATAATCATGGGAATATTTTTTTATGGTCATATCGGAATAGTTGTATTCTGGCTCCAGACATCTCTGGAAAATGACCTATTGAATCACATCGGAAATTAGGGCAGAGTTGACTTCCTGGTAGACTCCAAACAATTAAAGAGTTCTCCTTGGAATGTACACTCTGTACTGGCTGGTTATTTATATAGTGCATTACTACTCTGCAGCCGGTAATAATCAGGTCAATCTCAGGGACTCCACCCATGCAAAAAGGGGGCAAGGAAACTAGCAATTTATCTATTGTTCTAAAAAACTTTATGCAAGATTTCCCCCAAGCCACCCACGTATGAGATAAAGAAACATTTGAGAGAAATGATATTACTATCTCATTGTGCATATCTTATTAGTCAAAACACCAAAAATCACTGCTTGATTAACTGACAAATAACACTGGAAAACTGTCTGTGACACATGTGCAAAGCACTTTCCTGCTGCTGTGTAGTGTTTTATGAATGTGAGGACAAACAAGAAAACAAAATAAAACAAAAACGCTCCCCTATTTTTTTGTATCATAACATAAAAAAACAACCTTCCTTCCTTATCAGGCAGTGCCAAATAGTTAAACAGACTTTAGAGACTTCCAGACACTGACAGACCTCAGCTCCTGCCATTTACCAGAGGGATTTCAGAGGTTCTCTCTCTTAAAATAGCCACATTTTTGTCTTCCTGCAGGTCAAACCTTGCCACTTGCACATTGATTCCAGTAGACAATTTAACCATGCCATGCTCAGCAATGTCAAGGAATTCTGATGGGACTCTAGAGGTTTTTCTGTTAGCTGCTAAGTGGTAAGGATTGGTAGTATTGTTTCAAATACTCCTACCAGACAGACTGAAAAACGTACAAAACATTTTAAATTGCTGAACACGTTGCAATAGATACTTTTCAAAACTTTTTAATATCCTAATTTCAATTAATCAAATTGGATTATGAGTCATGGTTGAATACTAGATATGACATTATGACGCATGGCGGCTGCTATTCAAAAAGCATTAAGCAACAAGGGGCAATATATAACACAAATGCACTTTTAAATATAAATTAGAGTTTAGGCATTGCTTCACTGTGCAGTACAGAAAACACAAATGTATAGGAATAGGATAAATAAAATCTCTTTAACTGCTAGATGGTATTCATCACCTGAATTTTGCTTTAAAAATAATGTGCATTTAAGAACTCAGATCTATGGAGATGGTTGCTACAGAAAACCAGTTAGATTCTATGTTTTGTAAATTGCTGGCAGTTGGACATTTTGCGAAATCTTATCACATATTAGTTACCATAATACTGCAGAAATAGCTGTCATGCAGAACTATAGGATACTCTGATACTCTGAGGGAGGCTTTCCTGAGTTTAGAGGGGAGAGAATTGAGGCTAGAGATCTGGTCTCCCTTTCTGGGATGCTCAGTAAGGATCCATTCCCCTGCCTATGCAGCACATCTGCCCCTTCTGAGTCCCCACTCAACCTTCTGTTCTCTTCTTTGTTAATCTCCCTTTAAAAAGAAAAGAAAAAAAAAAGACAGATTTCCCTGTATCAGGGGACCAGCACATTTACAAAGGCACCTGACTATTGTTGCATTAAGTTTGGGTTGGACTCTTAATACATACTGCACTCTAAGCCATAGTTCCATAGAGAGTGTACTGGATTTAAACTGTTTATCTATCTAAGGTTTAATTTATGATCCCTCCAAATACCTCTGCAATGCAAGATCATTACATCTGTGCATATTTTTTGCAGATAGAGACAGATTTTCAAGGGCATACATGGCAGTTATGAATCCAACCCTTCCAATAAAAGCATAATTGCTTTCATAGTTGAAAGATCCTTGCATACCCAACTTCTGTATATACTACTGCATACCCACCTGCATACCAAACTCTTGTATATATCTCCTTCATAATCTGGTGAAGACAAGATTAAAGAAGAGACCTAGCTCACATCCACATGAGCGTAGATGTTTGTTTCTCCAGGGGCAAGAAGCAGTGGTACGCTTTGTGCCATTGCTACTTGTCCCCGGGAAATGTCTGTGCTGTGCACCCTCTGGCACATGGCAAGTTACCCCTGGTGGGGTATGAGAGGCTGTGCTGGCCCCAGTAGCCCTACCTGGGGTCCTGGGAGCTTGGGGAGCTGCAGCCATGGTGACTCTGCTGCTTCGAGCCTGGTCAGCAGCTGGAGTATGGCTTCAGCTGGCCAGTCTCTGGTTTTGGGTGCCACCCCACTTTTTTTTCACGTTTTTTTTTTTACCCCTCTGGATCTCCAGGGCTCAACCTCCCTTGCCCCCACCCCACATTGCTACTTTGCAGCATGGAGAATACCTGAATGTACACTGTGTGGCACCACAAATGAGTGTGCAGCTCCACATTGTACAGCTGTGCTTATCTGGATGCAGCCCTAGAGTTCAAATGTCAGAGCCAATATAAAAGGTTACTGTACCAGGGTACACGGAGACAACACACCACTTTTGAACAAAGTAGTGATCTGGTGGCCCAGATGATGCTGAGTTTCTCGATCCTGGACTAGTTGTCTAGATTTGAGAATTCTGAATAAGGAATTATGCAGGAGGAAGAGCTCGAAAGTGTTTCACAGAGGGAATGGGTAGGGGAGACGCTTAGGAATCATGGAGAATGAAACTCAATATCTTTTCTGAAACCAGAATCCTCTGTTGTGCAGCTAACTGATAATTTGGGAGAAAGGGGTTGAACAGGAACTTAGAGGTCCCATTTGGAACCATTACAAGGGTCTGTTGTCTGATCAGGGAAACAGGTGGAGAGCTCCTTGTCTGATTTTTTTAATTTTTAAAGATTTTGGGGTATGCAATTTGTGCAGAGGCCTAAGGATGCTTATTTGTTACAATATAGAGATCAGATACATTTCTGTAGGATTTTATCCACCTATCATCATTCAAATCAAACTTTTCTTCATGCAGGTCATGGAGTGAGATTGGAAAAATAAGAATGAGATGTTTCACTAAACTCAACAACTTTATTCTCTCTACATGCAAATAGAATGCATGTCTACAGTTAACCAAAAAAAATCATTTGGATTTCTACCAAATATCATAAACATGAGACTAACTCCTGTTAATTCAAATTACAAAAAAAAAAAGCCTGCCTAACAGCATTCACAAAAATGTTATGGTCTGCAAAACTGCGGTGCACT